GCCCAAGACGTCCCCCAGAGGGCCCCAAGACAGCCCAAGGCGGCCCCAACACAGCTCAAGAGGTGCTCTAAAGGGCTCCAGGACGGCCCAAGGCGGGGGCCCAGAGAGGCAAACTAACCGACAATTCGAGCTTTCCACCCCGAGAGGCCCCCAGAAGGCCCCAAGAGGCCCACAAGAGAGCCCAAGAGGCCCCTAATTAAGACGCCCCCAAGAGGACCAAACACTTGCCTAAAGAGGTTTCGAAACTGCTTCCACGAGGCCACCCTAACAAAAACCTTTCCAAGATGCCTCCGGGAGGCTCCAACCCACTGCGCCAGAGGCTCCCCAAAAAACCCAAGGAGCTTCACCAGAGACACCCAGACAACCCCAGGCGGTGCCCAAATAATTTCCCAGAAGGCCCCCCAGAGTCGAGGAACGACCCCGAAGCGACGACGACGACAGCGGCGGCGACGACGACGGCGACGAAGACCACGACGAACGGCTACCCCAGTATCCTTGACTCTTCGAACAACCTTCACCCAGTGACAGTACTTCTGCAACTCTGTGGCTACCTGGTAGCACAGACACCTGGCAACAGCCGCACCGATGCCTAGGGGGGGCCCACTCCCCGCACACGCCAAAGTATTCCCCGCTCCTACCACCCACCCCTCCCCTCATTCATCGTGGTCGCCGCCGGCGTCGCCGTCGCCCTCCGTCGTCACCGCCGCCGTCGTTGTCGTCTCCGCCGCCGTCGTCGCCGCCGTCGTCGTCGCCGTCGTCGCCGCCGCTGTCGTCGTCGTCGCCGCCGCCGCCGTCATCGTCGTCGTCGTCGCTCGTCGTCGTCGTCGTCGCTGTCGCCACCGCCGTCCTCGTCCCTGGCGCGTCCTCGTCCTCGTCCTCGCTGTCGTCGTCGTCGTCGTCGTCGTCGTCGTCGTCGTGGTCGTCGTCGTCGTGGTCGTCGTCGTCGTGGTCGTGGTCGTCGTCGTCGTCGTCGTCGCCGTCGTCGGCGCTGGACGACGTCCGATCCATCCGGCATCGACGTTCCTTGTCATTTTTGCCCGCGCTGTCCTCGGGGGCCATCCCTGGGCCCTGGGGCCCCCGGACGGATCTGATGGGAAGAACGGCGACGGACAGACCCTGGAAGAGCTCCAGAGACCCATGCCGAGCGGATTTCGATGTCTGGGGTCGTCGGCGCCGCCGTCGTCGTCGCCGTCGTCGTCGTCGTCGCCGCCGTCGTTGCCGCCGTCGTCGTTGTCGCCGTCGTCGTCGTCGTCGTTCGAGGATTGATCGGTCGAGGACCGAGTTTCGAGGAGGTTACATTGGTTGCTGTCAGTCGCCAGGAGCCGTCCCTTGGCCCCAGGATCTCCGGAAAAGGCTCCCCATCGAGGAGTCGTTTTCCCCCCAACCTCTTTCTGTCTCACATGCTCTGGAATCGCCACGGTCAGGATCTATAGATGTATCTGCATACATATATACATATATATACACATACTGCGTATATGCACATACATACATACACACATACATACATGCATACATACATACACACATACATACATACATACATACATGCATGCATGCATGCATGCATGCATGCATGCATGCATACATACATATATATACATACATACATACATGCATGCATACGTACACATATACATATATATCTATGAACACATACAGATGCAATATTGCATTGGCGTTTCGCGCTATGCACCTTGGCCCTTCAGGAACGACGCGCAGGCGGCAGGTAGGGCGCGGGAGGGAAAGCGAGAGAGAGAGAGAGAGATATAGAGAGAGAGAGAGAAACAATATATAGAGAAAACGAGAGAGAGAGAGAGAGGAGGAGAGAATACCCAAACGGACGAAGGTTCCTGGTTGCCGTTTGCCCCATCGTTGTCACACATATGTTATAGATCACTTGTCCCTCATGCTTCTTATTCTTCGTTTGTATTCTCCGTTTGCGAACGCGCCCCTGTTACCATTTTTGGTTTTCTTGCGTGGCCTCCTCCTTGAAGGGCTTTCCGGAATCTCGCGTGATTTTTTCTTGGGCCTTTGGTGCTCTTTGAGTGCCTGTTTGGTTCTAGTGGACGTTTTTGTTGATCTTTCAGCTTTTCCCTGGGCACAGTCTTGAACCCCGCCTTCCAATGTATGCTAGGCAATGTGCGGAAAGTCGAACTGTCGGAAGGCACTCACACAGGCATGGCACGTTGCAGGTGAAGAGCGATTCTCGTTGTCCGATCAAATATTCAGACAACCTGATTTGTGGGATAACCCAGTCGAACACCATGCATACGTGAGTTTGTGCATGATAAGGACGCAAAGCCATCCGTGCGATAGGAAATCCAGACACAGCCCCACGCAAATCATTTCAAATCATCTGACCGATCACAGGTCCGAATCCGCCGACCCCTTAGGGTTCTAGCTTGTGGAGCACTCGTGAGCACAGAAAGGAGGAGGAGGAGGAGGAGGAGGAGGAGGAGGAGGAGGGAATTGAGTAGGAGGAGTCGAGTCCATGTTATTGGGCGCTTCGGGGTTTTCTTAGGGGCCCTTCTGGAGCGCCGTGGGGCCCTCGTGGACCGGTTTGGGACCCCTGTGGGCGGTCTCGGGGGGCCACGGCCGTCGCGGGGCTCCGCTGTTTTTTTTCTTGGGGCTGTCTTGGAGCTTCCTTGGAGGCCGTCCTGAGCCGTCTTTGGGGCTCTCCTGGGCCGTCTTGGAGTTATCTCTGGGGCTGTCTGGGGGCCCTCTCGGAGTTTTGTCGGGGCCTGCGGATCCATGTTGGGCCGATTTTGGGGGGCTTCTTGAGCCGTTCTGGGGCCGTGGGAAACAACAAAGCAAATATGTCTAAAAATGCATGTTTTCTGCAAGGAATGGAACGATTTGGGCTTGTTTGGCGTTCTCTTGGGGCTCTTCGGGGCGTCTTGGAGGGGCCTCTTGGACCGTCTTGGAGTTCTTGGGGCCTTTATGGGAGTTTGCGGGGTCTCTTGAATGAGCTTAGTGCCATCTGGGGCCGTCTTGGAGCGCTCTTGGACCGCCTTGGAACCGTATTGGACCTCTTTGGGGCCGTCTTGGGCGCCCTGGGTGGTCGAAATTCGTTTGGTGTGGGGTGGGTCCCCAGCCCCCGGCCCTGCAAATATATACATACAAATAGTATACGCACATAGAGCAGGTGGGCCACTTCGTGATCTTCGTGTTCCCAGAACACCAGTCCTGTGCCATATTTTGAATGCCCGAGCTGAGGCAGGCTGAGGCCGAGGCAGGCTGAGGCCGAGGCAGGCTGAGGCTGAGGCTGAGGCAGGCTGAGGCTTAGGCTGACGCAGGCTGAGGCCGAGGCAGGCTGAAGTTGAGGCTGAGGCAGGCTGAGGCTGAGGCAGGCTGAGACTGAGGCTGAGGCAGGCTGAGGCTGAGGCTGAGGCTGATGCAGGCTGAGGCTGAGAGGCTGACGCTGAGGCTGAGGCAGGCTGAGGCTGAGGCTGAGGCCGAGGCAGGCTGAGGCTGAGGCTGAGGCAAGCCGAGGCAGGCTGAGGCTGAGGCTGAAGCAGAGGCAGGCTGAGGCTGAGGCTGTGACTGAGGCTAAGGCAAGTTGCGGCTGAGGCAGGCTGAGGCTGAGGCTGATGCAGGCTGAGGCTGAGGCAGGCTGAGGCTGAGGCTGAGGCAGGCTGCGGCTGGGGCTGAGGCCGAGGCAGGCTCAGGCTGAGGCCGAGGCAAGCCGAGGCAGGCTGAGGCTGAGACTGAGGCTGAGGCTGAGGCTGAGGCTGAGGCTGATCCTGAGGCAGGCTGAGGCTGAGAGGCTGAGGCTGAGGCTGAGGCAGGCTGAGGCTGAGGCAGGCTGAGGCTGAGGCCGAGGCAGGCTCAGGAGGCTGAGGCAGGCTGAGGCTGAGGCAGGCTGAGACTGAGGCTGAGGCTGGCTGAGGCTGAGGCTGAGGCTGATGCAGGCTGAGGCTGAGGCTGAGGCTGACAGGCTGAGGCTGAGGCTGAGGCCGAGGCAGGCTGAGGCTGAGGCTGAGGCAAGCCGAGGCAGGCTGGCTGAGGCTGAAGCGAGGAGGCTGAGGCTGAGGCAGTGGCTGAGGCGAGGCAAGCTGCGGCTGAGGCTGAGGCTGAGGCTGATGCAGGCTGAGGCTGAGGCAGGCTGAGACTGAGGCTGAGGCAGGCTGAGGCTGAGGCTGAGGCTGATGAGGCTGAGCTGAGAGGCTGACGCTGAGGCTGAGGCTGCTGAGGCTGAGGCCGAGGCAGGCTGAGGCTGAGGCTGAGGCAAGCCGAGGCAGGCTGAGGCTGAGGCTGAAGCTGAGACAGGCTGAGGCTGTGGCTGAGGCTGAGGCTGAGGCAAGCTGCGGCTGAGGCAGGCTGAGGCTGAGGCTGATGCAGGCTGAGGCTGAGGCAGGCTGAGGCTGAGGCTGAGGCAGGCTGAGGCTGAGACTGAGGCTGAGGCAGGCTGAGGCTGAGGCCGAGGCACGCCGACGCAGACTGAGGCTGAGGCTGAGGCTGATGCTGAGGCAGGCTGAGGCTGAGACAGGCTGAGGCTGAGGCTGAGGCAGGCTGATGCTGCGGCAGGCTGAAGCTGAGGCCGAGGCAGGCGAATCCTTCGGAATCCTTAGGATTCCCTAGGAATCCTTAGGAATCCCTAGGAATCCCTAGGAATCAGAATTCCTAAGGTTTCCTCAGGATTCCTATGGATTCCTAAGGATGCCTTAGGAATCCCTAGGAATCCTGAGGGTTCCATTGGATCCTAAGGCCGTTGCCACTGCGACTGTCATTGCGAATGCGACTGCGACTGCGAGAACAGCAGAATTCTACAACTGGATTCTCACCTGAATCTTAAGGGGAATGCTTCCAGATATGCTTATGCGCATAGCTGTTAGGCTGCTTTGCCAGGATAATCTGGTTGTCAGAACCATACGCGTAGCCTCTGGAGTGGAGCCCGAGTTGGCCTCCCGAGAGGTGTGGATGTAACCCGACTACCAGACGAGGCGTTCGCACGTCTTTCGGTCGCAGCGAGGAACTGTGAGATGCTTGCCCGTCAGGACATGGCGGCGAGCGAGGTGCAGCTTGTAGAGCGGACGGCTGCGACCGACTTCGGCTTCCGGGTCCTGCGCTGCTGCGTGGGGCGCGAGCCCGAGTTCTCTTCGAAGGTGGTGAGGCGCTCAGTTGCCTTGCAGCCAGCAGCCAGAGCCCCGACCGCCCCCACGGGCCCTCGGCCCATCCTGTGGCCCTGATTTGTTCCCAACCATCCTGTGGTGTTGGGTCCTCGTTTTGAAGAAACGGTCCCCGCGCCTCCCCCCCCCAGTGGGGGTACCACATGCGTCCACCACACCCAGTACAGCGTTTCGTGTCAGCATAGGGAGCTCCACGCAAGTCCCCAGTGAGGGTACCACACGCGTCCGCCACACCCAGTACAACGTTTCGTGGCCCCATAGGGAGCTACACCTACGGTCCCAGTGAGGGTACCACATGCGTCCGCCACACCCAGTACAGCGCTTCGTGGCCCCATAGGGAACTCTACGTAAAGCCCCAGTGGGGGTACCACATGCGTCCGCCACACACAGTATCGCGTTTCGTGGCCCCATAGGGAGCTCCACGTAAGGCCCCAGTGGGGGTACCACATGCGTCTGACACACCCAGTACAGCGCTTCGTGGCCCCTCAGGGAGCTCCATCGGAGGCCCCAGTAGGGGTGGCCACATGCATCCGCCGCACCCAGTACAACGTTTCGTGGCCAGTGGGACCGCCCGATTGCGTCCCGCACACCCAATTTGGCATTTTCATCCGCCCAGTACAGCGTCCCAATTTGGCATTTTCATCCACCCAGTACAACACTTCGTGGCCCCAATAGGGAGCTCCACCGAAGCCCCCAGTGGGACCGCCCACATGCGTCCCACACACCCAATTTGGCTGTTTCACCCACACAGTACAACGTTTCGTGGCCCCATAGGGAGCTCCACCGAAGCCCCCAGTGGGACTGTCCGCATTCGTGCCGCACACCCAATTTGGAATTTCCACCCACCCAGTACAGCGTTTCGTGGCCCCATTAGGAAGTCCACCTGAGCCCCCAGCTCCATCGACGGCCCCAGTACTACCGCCCGCATGCGTTCCCCCCACTCAGTGCAGCGCTTCGTGGCCCCATAGGGAGCTTCACCGAAGAAGATATTCACAATTGCGGTACCCACAACTGCATATGGTTGGATCCTTCGCCAGGATTATTTTCTAACCGATCAGCCCTTGATCCGTCCCGTCGCCCCGCCCAGGAGGAGAAAGAAGGATTCTTGCCTATGCCCGATCCCCTGCTTTTGGCCGACCACATCGCAGATAGAGCTGCCTCGCTTGTGTAGGTGCCAGGTTGTCCAGAGGGTTGCTGGACAATCCAGGCTCTCGGTGGACCGGTCGTTGCTGGCAAGCGTGTCCCAGGACAGGACAGGGGATCGAGGCCGGTGCATGCCTTGTCGGAAGACTGTTCGCTGCACGATCTGCGACAGTTGCGATCCCGAGCGCGTGCCAGGGGCTGCTCCAGTATTGCTGAGGTGAGGTGCTTGGCCGCCTCACACAGCAGCGGACTGCTCGCGTCAGCGCTGGCACAGGCCCTGAAGGCCGACAGAGGAAATCTCGCCGAGGCAGCAGCGGACGAGTCGCTCCTGATCTCTGCGATTGCAGTTCTGCCGATTGACTCGGGCTGCCTGTCTGTGGACGCAGCCGTGCGTCCGCAGCTGCTTGAGATGGTCCAGATCATTGTGGTTGCCCTCTGGAGATCCCAGGCTGGGAACTCTTACCGAGCGGGCGCCGCATTGAACGACCTCGCCCAATTCATCTCAGAGCAGGGTGGTAGCATGTATTCGAGTCAGCTCGCCGACTTTTTGAAGGTGCACCCTGAGCACCAGCGAGTCTTCAAGCTGACGAGCAGGATCCGCAAGGAGCGTTGCATGCGCCAGTTCTGCGAGGCCCACCCGGGGGTTTTTCGCTTCGACGAGAACCCCAGCGAGGGCCCTGGGAAGACGAAGGTCTGCCTGCTGAAGTTCTCCCGGAAGGATCCCCTGCTGCACCTGCTCTTCCGGGACGGCGCGGCCCTGACCCTGAGCACGAGGTTCGTGGCGAGGCTCATCGATGCCGGCAAGAGGGCACCCACCGAGAGGCAGATTGGGTCGGCCCGCTCGCTCTGCCCCTAGCCATCACCTTGGACCCCCCAGCCTAGACGCCTGCGCATCATCGTAGCATGCCTGGGCATGGCCATGCGGATGCCTAGTGAGGCATGCCACTTCTGCTGCCGAGGCATCCGCATGGGCATGCCTGCGCGTGCGTCGGGGACGCGCCCATGGACGTCGCTGGCCGCAGCTGGGCGCGCAGCTGGGCGCAGCAGACGCCTGGGCACCCAGCTGGCGATGCCTGGGCATCGGCAGCAGGCTGCGCAGAGGGCAGGCGTCGATGGCCTGAGGCACCGGAGACAGAGGGCCGTGCCCGGAGGCAGGTGCTCGACGGGCTCCTCGAGGAGCTGGCCCTGCGCCGCGGGGCGAGCCCTGGCGCGGGCGCCGAGGAGGCCCTGCGCCGCGCCGTGTCGCTGCACCGCGCGGAGTCCACGCTGGCCCTGCGTGCCGGCTGCCCTGGCGCGCGGAGGGGCATCCCCCTGCTCGACGGCGAGCCGCCGGCCGGCCCGCCGCCCGCGGGGGGTGCCAGGCGAGCGACGCCAGAGAACGGGGCCGTCGGCGCCGACGATCGTGCGCTGAGCTGCCCGCGTATAGGCTCGCGCGTAGGCGCCCTCGTCTCCACTGCAGCGTGCCGCGCTGGCGGCCCGCGTCGGCCGCCGCGTGAGGGTCGCATGTGCCATCTCGCGTGAGGCCCGTTGTGGATCGTCGCTGAGGTGTCGGTACGATCGAAAGGGGCACAGACAGGGGGAGTGCGAATACCGACGGCACTTCTCGTGGAAGAAACGAGCGGCCCTTGAAATGTAGACCTGCCATGCGCACCCCCACAGGCATTCGCCGAATTTCCCTGCTCATTTTCGACCAGACTCGCTGTCGGTATCGCCGCGGCCGTTGCCACGTTGCGACAGAAGGCCGCTTGCCCAACTGCGGCCGCTGAAGGTTGGGGACAACATTTAAGCAACGGAAAAGCACGGGGTCGACTGCGCCAACAGTGGCGCGTAAGTTGCCCGCGGATGGCCGTGCGGAAACGCCCTCGTCCTCATTGTGGCGTGCCACGATGACGGCCCACGTGAGCCGCCGCGCAAGGTCGCAGTATGTCACTCGCGTAAGACCCGTTTCGCTTCGTCGCTCCTTTGTTTTTGGCGTATCGTCGCCATTTCTCCGTACCCCTTTCGGTCGGGCACAGTCAACCCGCACAGTAAGGATGGGCAACATTCCCAAGGATCCCTTGCGTCCTTGTCTCCTCGGTCCGTCCTTGGCCGCTTCCGTTGGCCGCGCCCCGCTCGCAAAGCGTCGACAATGCCTCCCCAGGCCCTTGCATCCTCATCGTGCGTCCTCAATATACAGCCAACCCGCATAATAAGGTGGACAGCATTCCCAAGGGTACCCTTGCGTCCTTGCCTCCTCGGTCCATCCTTGGCCGCTTTCGTTGGCCGCGCCCCGCTCGCAAAGTATCGAAAGGGCCTTCCAATGCCCTTGCATCCTCATCGTGCGTCCTCAATATACGGGGTGCCTGTATCAAGGGAGGAAAAACCACCCGGACCCGATGGCAACCTGCGTTTACTAAACGGCCCGGGGCGTTTCGAAACAGCCGCCCTGCCCTGTTCGATTTCTTCTCTGGGTGCGTTTACTAAGCGGCCTCGCGTGTCGGGGTGACTATTGTGGGGATGGTGGAGGAGGAGGAGGAAGAAGACGAGGAGGACGACGAGGAGGAAAGAGAGGAGGAGGAGGAGGAGGAGGAGGAGGGGGAGGGGGAGGAGGAGGAGGAAGAGGAGAAGAGGGAAGAGCAGGAGGCGCTCAGGCTTTGTCGAGGAGGAGGGAGGAGGAGGAGGAGGAGGAGGAGGAGGAGGAGGAGGAGGAGGAGGAGGAGAGAGGAGGCGGAGAAGAGGAGGAGGAGAAGAAGAGGAGGAGCAGGACGAGGAGGAGGAGGAGGAGGAGGAGGAGGAGGAGGAGGAGGAGGAGGAGAGATGGGGGGGGCATTGTTTTGCCCTCCGCTGCCGAAGGTGGCCCAGGGAGGTGCTGCTGCTCCTCGACGCTCGGGGCGCGGCGGGCGCCGAGCCCCCGGCGGCCCACGGGGAGGCGGTCGACGACCTGCTGGCCCTGGCGAGGCGGTGCTGCAGGTCGCCCTGCGGGACGCGCAGCCCCGTCCCCCGAGGCAGGCATCGCATCACAGGCTTATACAGTCAAGAAAGAGTTTGGGTTCGGAAGGGGCTCGAGGTTCCTCGGGTTCCTCCGGTGCTGTTCCTCTTGCCCTCCTGGGGCACGGAGGCGCTCACATGGGGCACGGGTGCGCTCACGGGGGCCCTCATACACTCAACGTCAGCCCGAAGAATAAGGATGCGCGGTAAGGATGCAAGGGCCTTGGAAGGCCATGTCGACACTTTGCGAGCGGGGCGCGGCCGGCGAAAGCGGTCAAGGATGGCCCGAGGAGGCAAGGATGCAAGGGCCGCCTTGGAAAGTTGTTCATCGTTACTATGCGGGTTGACTGTAAGCTTAGTTGCCTCGATACGCCCGTTTTGAAACGCAACACGTCCTGTGTTCAAGACGTCCGTGTCAACAGCGTTGCGTGTTGGCTCCACGTATTGGACCACGTTCTGGCGAACGTGTCGCGTCGGACCTACGTTGTCAGCCTACGTGTTGAGCTCCGTATCAATACGATACGTGTTGCGTGTTGCGTATCGGGGTAGCTAAGCTCATAAGTGCCCAGATCCCCTCGACTCGTGGCAACAAAGCGGCGGGAGGTTGTTTTTGTTGCCGTGCGATCGATCGGCGACGGGGGGGGGGCTCTCACCGGGCATCGGGAGCGTCATGGAACGACTCAGGATGTAGGACCAGGAGTCCTGGGGAGTCGAGGAATCTGGGGGTCGGCGCTGTGAACAAGAGTCATGGCGTCGGGGGTCCGGGGATTGGCATCGCCCTCTTTCGATGCTGGTCTTAAGGATCCCCTCGGTTGATGAGGGCGCGCCCATCATATTCTCATCGCCTGAGGAGGAGGAGGCGGAGGCGGAGGAGGAGGAGGAGGAGGAGGAGCAGGCGGAGGCGGAGGCGGAGGCGGAGGCAGAGGCGGAGGCGGAGGCGGATGCAGAGGCGGAGGAGGAGGAGGAGGAGGAGGAGGAGGAGGAGGAGGAGGAGGCGGAGGCGGAGGCAGAGGAGGAGGAGGGGGAGGAGGAGGAGGAGGAGGAGGAGGAGGAGGAGGAGGAGGAGGAGGAGGAGGGGGAGTAGGAGGAGGAGGAGGAGGAGGAGGAGGAGAACTTGCCAAACACGAGGGACAGGGATCCTTTTGAAGCTGGCTGGCAGGGACCACGGTGTGCCGTGCCGGGCCGCGCGGGTGGCCAGCGGCTGCCCCCCCGCCAGCTTCCTGGCGCTCGTGCAGTTCATGAAGTACTCGGGGTGCCTGCGCGGTAAGCTGAGCGGCTGCCGTGCGGTGGCCAGGAGGGAGAACTCGGGACAACACACACGCACACACAGACACACAACTGAACAGTGGCAACACACACACAGACACACAACTAAACATGTGATTCTCCTGAAGGCATGCGGGGACACATGGGACATGGGGGGAGAGGAGCACGTCTAGGGAATGTTGATGACAATAGCGGAAATCTGGGCATTTGTGTAGAGAGTTGTTTGTGTCTCCCAGCCCCCCCCGCGCGGCCGCCCTCGTCGTTCGCGCGCACGCCGGCCAATTCGCCTGTCGGTTGTGCCCCGCAGAGCCAGACGCTGGAGCGGACCGTCTCTGCCTCGCCGCCGACGAACAATTGTGCCTGCCGTCCGTCGTTGTCGCCGCCGGGTCGTGCCGTCCCCCTGCACTCTGCCACTGGGCTCCCATTCGCTGTTTTTTGCTCTTTTTTTGGTCCGAGGCCCGAAAACCATCACTTCACTAATTCTGGGCCCCAGGGCCCACTGAGGCCCCAGGGGCCCCAGGTTAGTGAAGTGATGTTTTTTCCCACGTAAGGACCCCGAAATTCATCACTTCACTTAACCGAACCCAGGACGAAAGTCAGGGGCCGAATTGCTGCTGTGATGCAACATCGGTCTCGTATTTGGGGGGGGGTGGGCCTTAGGTGCGGCGGCGGCCGCTGGAGGGCCCCTCGCGCGCGCTCGCCGCGGCGCGCGCGGCCCGCGCGGGGCGCGCGGGGCGCCGGCGAGGGCGCGGCCCGGGCGCCGCGGGCACCGAGCCGCCCGCGCCGGCGGCGGCAGTGGCCGGGGCGGCGGACGGCGCTCGGAGTGAAAGGTAATGGGCACAGACACGTCCTCCCTCCTCCTCCTCCCTCCCTCCTCCTCCTCCTCCTCCTCCTCCTCCTCCTCCTCCTCCTCCCCTCCTCCTCCTCCCCCTCCCTCCTCCTCCTCCTCACTCCTCCTCCTCCTCCTCCTCCCCCTCCTCCTCCTCCTCCTCCTCCTCCTCCTCCTCCTCCTCCTCCTCCTCCTCCTCCTCCCCCTCCTCTCCCCCTCCCCCTCTCCTCCTCCTCCTCCTCCCCTCCTCCTCCTCCTCTCCTCCTCCCCTCTCCTCCTCCTCCTCCTCCTCCTCCTTCTCCTCCTCCTCTCTCCTCCTCCTCCTCCTCCTCCTCCTCCTCCTCCTCCTCCCCTTCTCCTCCCTCCCCTCCTCCTCCTCCTCCTCCTCTCCTCCTCCTCCTCCTCCCTCACCTCCTCCTCCTCCTCTCCTCCTCTCCTCCTCCTCCTCCTCCTCCCCCCCTCCTCCTCCCCCTCCTCCTCCTCCTCCTCCTCCTCCTCCTCCTTCCTCCTCCTCCTCCTCCTCCTCCTCTCCTCCTCCTCCTCCGTACACGAAGTAAAACGACGCGAAGATCGGGACAACATCGGATCGGGATAACTCGAAATCTCTGAGAATCGGCGGGTTTGGAGGATGTATTGGGCGCCGCGGCCGCTCCAGAGCGTTCCGGAACGCTCTGAGAGCGCTCCGGAACGCTCTGGAGCGATTTATCCCGATCCTAGCCCTGTTTTACGGAGGCACGTCGTTTCACATTTTTTTGTGCCAAAGCAATACTCGCGGCCATGCTTGGTTAAGATATCCTCTGGTGTGGTGTGGCCTGATCACAAAGGAAAACTGCCTGGTTGGTATATCCTCTGGTGTGATGTGGTCTTAGGGCGCACGGGAGCACACGGGAAAACACGTGTGAAAACACATGGGCGCTGGAAAAGTGACCGGGGCCAGCCCTCCCACTCTTGCCAGCCCAGCTTCCACTTATTTTTTCAGCCCCGGCGGCCGCATCCTTACTGTTTCAGGCTCGCTTTACCCCCTGCCAGTGTTTCCAGCCCTGGTCACTTCCACTTTCAATGATTTTCCAACTTCCTCTTACTTCAGCTTTCCTGCATGGAGGAGACGAGGTACATGTCAAGAATTTGGGAAATACGTTATTATCGAAGACTCCTACGGCGAATCACCGCCGCCCCCTGCCTTTTCAATTCGCCATGTAGCCGAGTGTTGTGGGAAGAGCTCTGCCAAGCTATCGGACCATGTGTCCCCCCAACCGTTGTGGAAGCCTTCGGGGGCCACTTGGGGGAGGATGGCAGGGAAGATCAGGAGGAGGAGGAGGCGGAGGAGGAGGGGGAGGGATGAGAAGGAGGAGGAGGTGGAGGAGGAGGAGGCGGAGGAGGAGGGGGAGGGAGGAGAAGGAGGAGGAGGTGGAGGAGGAGGAGGAGGCCAGGCCGGGCGGGCGGACGGCGCTCAGGAGGGAAAAGTAGGCACAGACAGAGACACGTCGATTCCCAGGAGCATATGGGAAATTACGGGAAGTGGTTTCAAGAATTGGGGAAATACGTTATGATCCGGTGGCCTTCTTCGGCCCATCCCCTCCCCCGTGCCTGGGTTGTGGGCCAGACGCTTCTCCGATGCTTGTTGGGGTCTCTTGGCAAGCCGCTGGGGAGCCTAATGGAAGCATTTGTGAAGCCTCTTGGGGCTTCCTGGGGGCCTCTCGGGGGCGTCTTGGGGCCTCTTGGGCGCCTCCTGCCGGTTTCTGGGGGCCCATTGCTCAAAATGTCAGTTCGGGTCCTCCGTCTGGGCCCCCTTTTGAAGCCGACTTGCTTAAATGCACGACTCCCCTGAAGATTTTGAATGTTTCATGCTTTTGGGAATCTCTTCGGAGCGTGCGCGGGAGCCTTTGGGGGCACCTTTGGGGCCTCTTCGGAGCTTCTTGGGGGCCTCTGGGGAGCGTCTTGGGGGCCTCTTGGGGTTTCCTGGGGGCCACCTCGTTGGGCCGCTTGGGGCCTCTTGGACGCCTCTTGGGGCCTCCTGAGGATTCTTGGGGCCGAGTGCTCGAAATGTCCGTTCGGGTCCCCCGTTTGGGCCCAATCTTGCAGCCGCCTTGGGGGCGCTTGGGCCATCTTGGAGACTTATTGGGCCGTCTTGAACCGTCGTGAGTCCCTCTTGGAGGCCCCTTGGGCCGTCTTGGGGCGGTCTTGAACGCCTCTTGGGCCGCCCCAGAGCGTCGGGAAGCCGAACACCGCTAGAAAATCAATGTGTGTTTGCCTCTCGGGGACCTCTAGGAGGCCTTTTGGCGCGTCTTGGGGGCATCTTCGGCCTTCTGGCGGCCATCTTGGGCGTCTTGGACCGATCGTTCGACGACTCGGGGCCCTCCTCGGCCGTCTTTGGGGCCTCTTTGGGTCCTCTTGGCCCGTCTTGGGGCGTCCTCAGCGTCCCGGAAACTCGGGCGACACCCCCCGCGAGGGCGTAGTCGCGCCTGGGAGCGCCTCGGAAACTTGCAGGTCGTCTTGAGAACCACAGGCCCCCTGCCCCGCAGAGCTGCGTGAGCCTTGGGGCACTCCACTGCGTGCCGGAGGCACGGTGGCGGACTCGTACCTCGCTGCGATCCGACGCTGCAGAGAAAGTGCAGCATCGCGGCAAATGACTACACCCGGTCCCTGGGCCCCAGGCCCCATCTTTTTGTGTGTGTGTGTATATATATATATATATATATATATATATATATTGTCGAGCGAGATCGACCCGCGAGGGCCCCCGGGGCCCGAAATTTGGCGAAGACGTCCGGCTCGAAGCAACGGCGCCGCCGGGATCCCAGGGCTCTCCGGGCCCCGTGAGGCGAGAGGCGCGCGGGGCGCCGGCGGGGGCGCGGTCTGGGCGCCGCGGCCACCGAGCCGCCCGCGTCGCCCGCTGGGGCGGGCGGGTGCCCCGGGCGCGCGCCGAAGCGCCGCCGGTGTCGGCCCGGCAGCGCGTCCGTGGGCGCCGAGGGCCAAGAGAGAGCAGAGCGCCGCGAGGGCCCCAGGCGTCGTCTCGTCGTGCAGAGGTTTCCCAGTTGGGCTTGCCCGAGGGGTTCTTCCTCGGTTCAGGCTGGGTGCCTCGGGGGCGACTCGGGGGGCTACTTGGCCCGTTACTCGGAGGTTCCCCAGGTTTCTTGGGTTCCCCAGATCCCCGCGGTGCCTCATGCCGAGCAATGCTATGCAATGCCAAGCAGTGCCGAGCAGTGCGCCCATGCAATCACTAGGAACCGTTCCCCCATTTGGGGTCGCGACGGGTTCATCAGGACGGTCGGTTTTCTTTGAGATCGTGGCGTCGCAGTTTTGTTTTTCCCGCAGCCAGCGATTCTGCCTCCGTTCGGGCCCCCACAGGACCCTCCCGAAAAGATCCAGCTCGAAAAATGATACAGGAAGGGGGGGGGGTCCAGGGCTTCAGTCCAAGATGTAGATGCTGCAGTGTTTTTTGGTGACGTCGACTCCTCAGGGCCTGCCCATTCTCGGCCTCCTGGGGCTCTCACCGTGAAAGCTGGTCCCGCGGAGAAGGTCCAGACTGCAGGCCCCCACAGGTGATTATATGTTCTGTGCAAGAGCACGGCGTCGGAGGTCCTTGAGAGCATCGCAACATATTGTTGCCCCCGTGCGTGCGGTGCCCTTCAGCTTTTCTTTTTGGTTCGACGTTCTGCCGCGCTGGAAGGACCGATCCTTCCCCGCTTTGCTTTCAATCTCTCGCTCTCCTCTGTCTCTCTCTCTCTCTCTTTCCATTCATTCTCTCTCGCTCTCTCTCTCTTTCTCTCTCTTTCTCTATCTCTCTCTCTCTATCTCTGGAGACTTTCTACACACACACACGCATGCCTCTACGTTTCTGACACATGTCCAGATCATACTACAGATTTGCATGCTCCCCCAGGTCTCCGACCCGCACCTCGATGACATCTCGGGCCAATCCCGGTACCGCCCTCTGGGGTGTCCCAGGCGGCCCCAGGAGGGCTTCGGGACGCTCTCCCGGGCATCTCAGGCGGCCCCAGGAGCCTCGGGACGGCCGGGGACGCTTCCGAGACAGCCCCAAAGGGCTTTGAGACCGCCCACGACAGCGCCCCCACGGCCCAAGAGGCTCCCACGAGCATCCAAGAGAGCGTCGAGAAGCCTCCAGCAGGCCCCCAAGACCGTCCAAAAGAGCTTCGAGGAAGCCCGAAAGAGGCCCAAATCCGTCAAAACCTGGGGAATAGATGTTTGTTAGGACGTTCTGTCACTTTCGCCTCCGATGCGCTTGCGAGGCTTGCGCGTGACCCCCAAGGGCGCCCCAAGATGCTCCCAAGAGGCACCCCGAGCGCACCCAAGGGGCACCAGAAACCCCCCTGACGCCCGAAGAAGCACCAAGAGGCTCCAAAAACGCTCCCAAGAGGCCCCGAAGAGCCCTCAGGAGGCGCCTAAGAGGCTCCCAAGAGGCTCACAAAGGCCCAAGAGGCCCCCAAAAGGTCCCCAAGAGCCCCCAAGAGGTCCGCAAGAGGCCCCCAAGAAATCCCTAGAGGCCCCAAGAGGCGCCCCTATGAGGCTCCAGTCAGGCTTTCAAGACGCCTCAGAGACCCCCAGGGAGACACCCACGAGCCATCAAAGATGGCGGCGAACTCGTAAGATGCGGCTCCTCTCTCCCCTCCTCTCCCTAAGGGAGCCCCCGGGAGACTCTCACGAGGTATCCCAGATGACGGCGAATCCGGAGGCGGCGGCTCCTTCCTGTTATCCCTCCTTCCTGATCCCTCCCTCCCTCCCCTCCTTCCTGATCCCTCCCTGATCCCGGCTCAGGGGCTTCATCCTGATCCCTCCCTGCCGTCATCCTGATCCCTCCCCTCCTTCCTGACCCCTCCCTGCTCCCTCCGGATCCGCTGTCATCCTGATCCTCTGAGCCTTCCTGGTCCCCTCTTTCCTGATCCCTCCCTCCCTCCTGACCCCTCCCTCCCAGTTCTCGTCTCTCTCTTTCCTTCTTTTTTCTTTATCCTGGGTGTCGTGTCTCTGGGGCAAAAGGAGCCCGCAAAGCGGGCGCCCTGGGCTGTGCCACTCATTAGTTTGCGCACCCCCCCGGCTGTCGAGGTCGTGCACCTTGCTTTCGAGGAGAGCCGAACCGAACCCTTCGGGCCGGGCGAAAGGGGGGGATTGGGGAAGGGGGGGTTACAAAAATTGCTGCATGCAGCTGGTTTCGGCTTCACCAAGGGGCCCATTCCTCGATACATAGCCGCCTCCGGCGCCGGGAGGCGCCGGGAAATCAGCTACGTGAGCTGATTCTCAACCCCCCCCCCTTTGCTATCCCCCCCTTTCGCCCGACCCGAACCCTCCCTCCCCCTCCCCCCTTCCCGGATGCGTCCTTGCTCCTTCCTCCCTCGCTCTCCTCTCTCCTTCCGTCTTTTCCTCCTCCCCTCCGCGCGCCTCGCCCCGCTCCCCTGCCTCACAGCTGTGGCAGAAGCCCCAGCCTGCATCAGGGAGGTCCTGCACATCGGTGTCTGTTCAAGTTCGGGAGGGGAGAGAGGACACAGGCACAATTGATCGTCGACCCCCAGGAATGTATGGGAAAATATGGGAAGTGGGGGTGGGGGAAGGCGAAACCCTAGAACATGTGTGAAAAGATTGGGCATCCCATTCTTTGTGTCTATTTATCTGTGTGTCCCAAGGCCCCTCTCACAAGTTCGACCAGCCCACCCCCCAGAAGGTTTTCCCGTCTCTTCCATCCCTCGCTGGCCGAGACTCCGCAGCCACGCGCCTTGAAGGCGTCTTGCGTCTCGTCCGCGCCTCGCGATGATTGCAGGCCGGGTGGCGCCGCGGCCCTGGGATGTGACAGTCTCCTGCGTCTCTGTCCTCTCGCAAAGTGTTTGGGCGCGTTGGGACCACGACCATGGAGCTGCGACGGCATCGTGTCCGATATGTTCCCACTTACTCTGCTGGGGGGCATCGCATCCACTTTCCCCTCTCAGTATTTTCTGGCTGGGTGGGCCCGCAGCCACAGGCTGTGACGGCGTCCTGTGCCCCTTTCTGTTCGCAATGTGTTTGGGTTGGGTGGTGCCGTAGCCCTGGGCTGTGACAGTCCTCCGCGTCCTTTTCCTTTCACAGGGTGTTTGGGCTCGTTGGACCCGCGACCATTGAGTTGCGACGGCAGCCTGCTTCATACTTGCAGACTTATTCTGCTGGGGGGGGCATCGTA